TTTTTTTTTTTAAGATTTTATTTATTTATTTATTTGACAGAGAGAGACAGTGAGAGCAGGAACACAAGCAGGGGGAGTGGGAGAGGGAGAAGCAGGCCTCCCGCCGAGCAGGGAGCCCGATGTGGGACTCCATCCCAGGACCCTGGGATCGTGACCTGAGCCAAAGGCAGACGCTTAACGACTGATCCACCCAGGCGCCCTAGGTTTATCTTTTAAAACTAACGCCACTTGGGTGGCTCATTCAATTTAAGTGTCTAACTCAATCTCAGCTCAGGTGTTGATCTCAGGGACATGAGTTCAAGCCCCACGCTGGGCTTCATGCTGGGTGTGGAGCCTACTTTAAAAAACAAAAACCTTTTATTGTTTTCATGAAATTTTGGAGTGAAGGACTGTAGAATTACTGCCAGTCTCGAATTTATTAAAATGTCTACTGTTTCCTGTTAATATCCTTGTTTCTTTGCTTACTTAGCTTTGTCCCTCTCTTGGGTTAATGATGTTTATGTCTGGATTTTTTGGTTCACTTACAAAGTGAATGTTAGGACGGAGTAATAGTGTTAGCCTGTATGTTAATGGTGTTAGCATTTGTTTTCCTGACTGTTGATTTCCCTTAGCACAGTTACCTTCCCAATGAAGCCTAAGATCAGTCAAATCTGTTTTCCCATTGGACCCTGCCTCTGGCCCTGCCAGTACAGTGACTAACTGCTAGCAGTACTGTTGTTACGGGAGTCCTCCTCCCAGCACTTACTGCCTCTCACAGGATTGACTTCGTTAAAGTTGGGGAATCCATGGGGTTCCTCTTTAGAATTAAGTCATCTTAGCAGGTGCCACACTTAACATGGTCATCAAGAAATGAGAATTTGTATATCTGCTTCCAGTGTTCGTCTGACATTTGGTTGTATTAATCTTACTAGTGTTCACCAAACTCTGTAGTAATAAGAAGTTGGGGCCTTTTTAAATTTCAGTGCATTTTTTTTTTTAGTGCAATTTTAAAAATTTGCATTGGCTTTTATTTTTTGCTTGGGTACTAGGGAAATGGTAAATAGGTGCTTTTATTTTTTGCTTGGGTACTAGGGAAATGGTAAATAGGTGCTAATATTGTCTGAAGTACCTTATTTTTTTCCTCATAATTATATAAACGTTAATATAATCATCATAGACAACTTGAAAAGAAAGGCAGCACATTGGTTCCATACATCTGTGAAAGCGTTATCATTAATTGGAGAAATAAGTGTATTGCTATTGAGAAGTTGGCTTAAAATTGATAAGAACAACCATTAGGAAGACACCCAAAAGCTGTTTTAATGATATCAGGGATGAGTACAGCTAGGCCTTTACTTTTGTAAATTAGTTTGCAGAATAGTTTAGAGTTGTTAGTACAGGATTTCTTTTCAGTAAGCACAGCCTTTCACATGGTAGTTAATTGGAAAAGAAAGTTGAAAAATCAGGCTCTTATTAAAAAGGCCACGATTTTCCTTGTTTTTTCCCATCTAGAAGGGAATACTTATTTTTTTATTGGCTGTACAGTAAACACGATGGTAGACTTCAGGTTGTATGGTATTGTAACTGATTTGTGGTTTCTGCTTGTATTTTTTCTCCTCCAAAGATTTTTTTGAATAAACAACCAAACCCAAGAAAGAAGCTTCTTGTGCCTTGTGCACTGGATCATCCTAACCCTAATTGTTACGTATGTGCCAGCAAGCCAGAGGTGACTGTTCGGCTGAATGTCCACAAAGTGACTGTTCTCACATTACAGGATAAGGTAAGTGCAGGGGCTGGTTCTCTTCCACAAGGTTTTTTCATTTTCCTCTTCTAAAAACAGGAAACCTAGGTTCCCTTCTGCTTGATAGTGTTAGTGTGGTAACAAACTAAAAGCCACGTAATTATTCTGAAAGATTCTGACTACTAAAGTGTGTTGCTCTAATATTCTAGGTTACTTTACTATCTGGGTTCCTACTGGTTTTTTTGGTGTGTGGTTCCAGAGTATGCGCCTCACATCCCAGAAAGGAATAGATGAATTTGGATGGAATATGCACCACAGGTGGTACAGAGGTGATACAGTTTCTTGGCAAGCAAGAGACACTTTGTTCCCAGATTGTGTGTAAATTCTGTTTTCTGACAGGCGATATCCTTAAACGGTCTGGTGATGGTCCTGATTCTGGTGTGTTAAGTTGGCCTCTTATGAAACGTTGCATTTGTGTATCTGGATTCACCAGTAGTAGAGCTCTGGAGTGAAGGAAATGGAAGTTTAGGATGTGGTCCAATCTTTAGGCTCCTTCTAAATTGGCTAGATTAGTTTCTCTATAAATGGCCCAAATGGGTGCCACTTCCCACTTTTGGGATCATTTCAGATTGCTCTCTGATAATCCCCATCATCATGTTTCATATTTATATGACATGGGGGCGATAGACCCTTGCGGCCTAGACTGCTTGAGAGGGAATAGCCTTTCTCCCAGAACTGATTGCATAGCGCAGATTAATTTGAGCTTATGTTTTGATGGAGAAGCAGCAGGATTTGGTAAACTGGCCAGCAGAGGGTGATTGTCCCCCTGCTTTCTTAGGAAATAATTATAGTTGGTATGTAATCATTCTTAAGCTTAAAGGCAAGCCTACTTTTTGTGGGATAATCAGACCTTTAGAGAATTCCTGTTATTTTTAAGAGCAGCTAGAATTTGACAGATCATCATCACTCCTGATCCATCTTGGAATTTAAAGAGAGATGGAACTTGGGAAGAGGAAGACTATCCAAGAATCAGTTTTATGAGAAATTTTCCATTTATAAAACATCTGCAAATAGAGGATTGGCATAGAGACTAAGATGAAATATGCCAAGTGTCTAGCTCAGTACCTAATCTGTAGGGAAGAACAAAATACTAAGCCAGTCAAGAGTTCGCAGTCTCCCATTTGGAGGAAGTTTTATCTGAACTTCATCAGTGGTCAAACATGAGGGTGGGCAACATGGGCATGGAGTAATTGGGTGAATTTCCAGTGCTTTCCTGCATGCCCTGAGGTACCTTGATGAGCAATTTTGCCCCTTTCCAATGGAAGGGGAAAGTAAGAGCCTTTATGGAAAAAATGTCTTTTTTTTTGGTCTTTAGCTATATATATATATTAATATTTTGTATCTTTTTTTCTCATAGATAGTGAAAGAAAAATTTGCTATGGTAGCACCAGATGTCCAAATTGAAGATGGGAAAGGAACAATCCTAATATCTTCAGAAGAGGGAGAGACAGAAGGTATCATACATTGCATTTATTCACTCCCCTCATTTGGGTGGAAACTGTATACATGAAAAAGTAATAATAGTTATGATTTCTGAAATTAAAAACAGATGGGAATCTCTGAAAAAGAGTGAAGATTTTTTAAAAACTGAAGTTAGTGATGATTTTTTAAATTAAAAAACAGATGGGAATCTCTTTGAGAAAGTAACGTTAGTTGGTCCATTTACTATACATGTTAGTATCACAGCTGATGGGGCAATATTTGGTCATGGAAGTGCTCTCCCTAGGTGGCACTGCCTTGCTGGGATCACTGCAGTTCCAGGTCTGGGGTCTCCTGTGTTGTCAGGGTATCTCAGGGACTGTTTCTCAAGAACCCAGTGCATAGTCAGGTTTACAGTGACCATGATGCTCTTGTTCACTAACAAGGAACCACCTTGCCTGTATCATGGATCCTAGGAGCTAAATTAGTAATGAGAAGATTGCTCTGGCTGTTAGGGTAGGAAGGGTAACTTAAGGCTATTAGGTGTTTTGTCCAAGAGTAGAGAAAGAAGCCTTGATAGCCCATTATAGAGCAGAAAGTAGTGTTGAAAATCAGTGCCCACTTTTGGTTTTCTAGGCTTTCCTTTTCAAAAGTTGAAGCAGGTCAGGGCACTTGGGCGGTACAGTTGGTTAAGCGTCCAGCTCTTGGTTTGGGCTCAGGTCATGGTCTTGGGGTTGTGGGATTGAGCTCCGTGTCAGTCTGTGTGCTCAGCACAGAGTCTGCTTGGGATTCTCTCTCCCTCTCCCTCTGCCCCTCCCACTTGTGCACTCTCTCTCTAAAATAAATAAGTCTTTTTTTAAAAATGCAAGCAAGTCATCCCTTTTGTTAATGCATTTATTGTAAAAAGTATGATGCATTTGATTCTTTTTCAGCTTTCTTAGAATTGGTTATGGTTATGTCCCCTTCAGACTGCACTAGTCTACGTTCCCATACCTCTTTGGTCACTTTGGCAGCTCATCTCTTTGGGCTACCATTTTAGTTGATTTCTCCACATCCCCAATTTTGTCAGTGTACCATGACTTTCAAAATCTGGGGGCACTGTTTTCCCCAAGTACGTGATGTATTTATTCATACATTTGTTCATTGGTCATTTATTCAGGACACTTTGCCGTATCCTAATGAGGTTATTCAAATGTCAAGCCTTTACATTAAAACCTAGTGTTAGGATTCTTGACTGTAGATTTTGTCAAGAAAATGTTTGAGATACTAGGTCATGAGTAATTTGAGGCCGTGTTTTGGATAGGTAGTAGTCTATTTTAAGAAATCTAGTTGAATATTTAAGCCCCATTTTAGCCAGCTGTCTTTATACACACAGAGAAAGTTTATCCATGACTATACATTCTCTCCTTGGTTCTGTGGTTCTGGCCAGCTCTTTCAAATGCTAGGACTTTAAAAATGGAAACAGGTCAAGAATCTCTGTGGCTTAAATCTCTGGCCCTTTTCCACAAAATACATGTGCTACTGAGGGTGCTAGCATTTATTCAAATATGTTTAGAGCCCTTCTGTGTTATAGGTATAATCCTAGATGTTTCTAATTCAAGAATGAATAAGGCAGTGGTCCCTGTCTTGAAGTACCTTAGAGCCTGGAAGGAGAGGAGAAATGATCAAGTGGATTTAATACAATCTAAGAAATAACTATAGGAACAGAGCATGTAAGGTAGGAATTCGAGCCTTGTGAAGAGAGGCGGGTCACAGGAGAAAGGACTCCTGGGCCAGTTCTTAAAGATGTAAAGGCCCTCTGGGCAGAAAAGGCAATATCTGCACTTGCACAGAATCAGGAATGGCCAGTTACCTGTTTCACTGGAAAGTGGGGTGCTGCGGGGTTAGCAGTGGTGGTACAGCTAGAGGGCTTTCTGTGGCCTACATGTGACATGTGTTTGTCATCCTCTTACCGCCAAGGCTTCTAAGCAGGGAAGTAATACATTAACTTCTAGCATTGTCTGCAGAGGGGGTGGTTAGGCATGTGAAAGAGGAAGCGGGGAGCTGTTTAGGGAGGAAAAAATGAAGGTAACGAGGGATTTTTACTGAGGCAGTAGCAGATGTCATAGTTGAGATTTGGAGTCGGAGTTCAGGGGCCAGGTGAGGAAAAGTGGCATTGTTGGGCTGATACAGGACTGCCGCCATGACTCTGGCTTTAGAGATGGTGCTAATTGACCAGGATAGAATGAATGCACAGTACCTATTTTTCTTTCAAACATGTTGGGTCTGAGGAGTTTGTAGTGAGTGGAGAACGTGAGAAAGGACTTGAGGATGGAAGTGTGGGTAGGAACTATAATTCTCTGAAGGCATTCCAGGTAGATTAAAAAGTTAAAATAAGAAACCTGCAGGGGCATCCCCCTGGCTCAGTCAGGAGAGCATGCAGCTCTCGATTTCCAGGTCGTGAGTTGGAGCCCCACATTGGGCGTGGAGTTTACTTAAAAAAAAAAAATCTATAAAAGAATTAGAAACTCAGTAGTTTCTGGGTTTCAGGCTCAAGGAGGGAGGATCCTTTGTAAGCATTCTCCTTATAAGCGACAAAAGAAGTTATAAAAACCAACAAAGAAAAAGATTACTGGATCATATAGAAAAATCATGTAAATTTAATGATAACTAGAATTTAAAATATAGTTTACTTAGTATGTGCCAGGCACTGCATAGGTCAACAGGTTCCATACAGTCTGAACCCCTCATGGAGCAAATAATAAAGCACAGTCTGTCGTGAAGAGGGGGTGAAACTGGGAGCAAAGTGAGGAAGCGGTTTTGTAAGTGATACTTGAGTGCTTTTACAGGTCGAGAGAAGAGCATTTGAACGTGCAGGAGAGAAAGGATAATTAAGGCAGAAAGACTCAGAAATAGGGAGGAGGAGGAGGTGGTGACATCGGAAGTTTGGAGGAATTGTTCTTCATTGGAATATTTATAATCCATGTAGCAAAGGTTATTAAGTGCTAGTGGGTATTAGGCACTGCAGAAATGACATGTAGAAACTAAAACTAGATTGGAGTGATAGGGGAGGTCCCATAGGCTCATCATTGAGAAATGTTGAAAAATGGAAAATCCATTCAAATCAACAAAGTTTTCTCATTTTCTGAATTACAGAATTTGCTGAAAAGTAGTTTGTTGAAGTTGTCATGGATAACCTCTTTGCAAGTAGAATATATTTTGAACAACTCTAAAAGTTGTCTTCAACTCCTCCAGGATTCTAGATTAATTTGATTTGAATGGGAAAATGTTGTCAGAACTCCACACGGTTTGGTTCTTTTTAAGCAGTTGTAGTAGTTGAGTATTCTTCATTCAGGGCTGGATTTCACTAATTTTTAGTGAATTAGTGAATTAGTTTGGTAGAGTCACCATTCCAAAATAGACAGGGTGACTTAAGTAACAGAAATTTATTTTCTCATAATTCTGGAGGCTGCAATTTGTTAAGATCAAAATGTCCACAGGTTTGGTTTCTCTGGAGGGACTTCTTAGAAGGATCCTGGTTAGGTTGGATTAGGGCCCACCCTAACAGCCTCATTACAACTTAGCTCTTTAAAAAGCACTATCCAAATACAACCATGTTCTGAGATGTTGGGGTTAGGACTCCCAACATATGAATTTTAGGGGGCAACAGAATTCAGCTCATAGTAGGGGTTTAATCTTTTTTAAATTAATAGGACTGCTCCAGTGGAATATATAACTGAAGTATCTAAATTCCTTTCCAATTTCTTAGCTAATAATCACAAAAAGCTGTCAGAATTTGGAATTAGAAATGGGAGCCGGCTTCAAGCAGATGACTTCCTTCAGGACTACACTTTATTGATCAACATCCTTCATAGGTAGGAACTATTAATATTTTAAGTTTAAGAAATTATTTGAATATAAAAAAGTGAAGAAAAAATGTTTTCTTACCGTTAAGCCCTACTGTTCGTTTGAAACCATGCAGTATATTTGCTTGAGTTGGCTACTAAGTTCCCTGAGGCTTGACCTACAGAAGAATTTGGGAATTCAAAAACAAAAGGGATAGGCAAAAAATATTTAAGGGTAACTCATCATAGTGTCTGATCAGAAAGATCTAGAAAAGGTAGAAATCCAGGCATTTGAATCAGAAGTGAATTCATTTTGGTAATTGAACTAAAATAAAAACTTCAATTATTTTAAAGATTCATTAGAAGAAAAGAAATCTTTCTCCCATTAGATATTTCATTTGTGGTGTATAACAATAACAAGACATTTAAAAATTATCCTATAGAGATTTTTAAATCATGTATTTTTTTCTTTTTGATTTAATGTCCTGCCATTTTTATAAAAAGCATTCATTTGCTTGCATTACAGAATATTTGCGTATATGTAACAGAATGAGATGGTCCTCCACTTTGGTATGGTTAACTGTTGAATAAGGTGCATTTTTGTGCATGCTCCCATTGATACACCTAAACTACACACTGACTTAGGACTTTTGGGTACCGTCTAACAAACATGAAGGGGGTTGCCATCTGCATCCAGTTGTTTTGCCAATATTGCCGTCTCTCTATGAACTTCAAGCTTGTGTAGTTGTTTGGAGATTATCACATTTTATGTACTTGGTTTATAAAAAGCATAAAATGACAGGAAAAACTGTGAGTTAGTAGTAGTAAGTACAAGTTTCACAAAGTTAGACAATTGAGTCAAAGATATTGCTAGGGAGTGATCTCTAGCCTCAGACACCATTGGATGCCAGTGGTGTGCTTGTATTCAATTATACAAGAAAAAACAACGGAAGGACATGTACAATAAAATGGAAATATATCAGATGGTGTCTAAAGAGGAGGCATAATTAGGGTTTTTTTTTTTTTAAGATTTATTTATTTTGAGAGAGTAAGGATGAGAGAGAGATTACATGAGGGGGGGAGGGTTAGAGGGAGAAGCAGGCTCCTCGCCGAGCGGGGAGCCTGATGTGGGACTCGATCCCGGGACTCCAGAATCATGACCTGAGCCGAAGGCAGTCGCTTAGCCGACTGAGCCACCCAGGCGCCCATGGTTTTTTTTATCATATTTTTTAGCTCTTTGGGAACAGAACCCCCCCTTATAACATGTAAGTCTTTTGCTTGACTTTCATGCATTAAACTTTCATACGTGTTTTTGGGAACTCATTACCAAAGCAGGGTGCTGCTGGTAAAGATGGGAAACCCAGAGCCCATGTAACCCCCCATTCCTAAAACACCAAATGGCTCTGGTCAAGAGCAGAGTGTGTAAATCTTTAAACATGGTAGCTGAAGACATAATGCCTAAGAGCTAGTTTGGGCCACAGAGTTTTGAACTCCATTTTCTGCTCTAGCAGTAAAAGTTGTGTTAATATTTTTTAAAGACTTTTTCCTTGATTTGAAGGGGCATTGGTATTGACCATTTGAATTATCACAAAAATTTGTTATGTGCAGTCTTATTTTTAGTTTTATTAGCTCTTTGCAAATCAGGATCTATTTGGTGTGTACATAGTACATGCACTTAGAGCTTTGAGGAGCAGTGTCTCTCTTTCGTGCCTTTGCTTTTGTAAATAGTCATGGTGGTCCAGTTTTACAGTGTGTTGTTCTTTTACAGTGAGGACCTAGGGAAGGATGTTGAATTTGAAGTTGTTGGTGATGCCCCAGAAAAAGTGGGGCCCAAACAAGCCGAAGATGCTGCCAAAAGCATAACCAATGGCAGTGACGATGGAGCTCAGCCTTCCACATCCACTGGTGAGTCATGGCCCCAGCCAGCCAGCACTTTAATTATCCACCAAGCAGGCCATTATATAGAAACAAACTGTGATTATTGTATGAATTTGACCATAAAACTGAAATCCATAGGACTATTAGAGGTGTATATTGATTTGGCATTGATTGTTTTAATGGAGCTCTGAATATATGAACCAATGAAGACATTTAAGACTAGGGGAAGGGGCGCCTGGGTGGCTCAGTTGGTTAAGCGACTGCCTTCGGCTCAGGTCATGATCCTGGAGTCCCGGGATCGAGTCCCGCATCGGACTCCCTGCTCGGCGGGGAGTCTGCTTCTCCCTCTGACCCTCCCCCCTCTCATGCTCTCTCTCTCTCTCTCATTCTCTCTCTCAAATAAATAAAATTAAAAAAAAAAAAAAAGACTAGGGGAAATTCTTATGGAAAATAGGAACTGTTCTTTTTTTGTTAGTGGGTTTTTACAACTGGAAATGTCCGTGAATTTACTAGTGCATGAAGATACTTCATTCTTTGTAGTGGTAGTTTTGGATTTTGGGTACCTGTTTTATTTAGGGGAAACAAATCAATGCATCTGACTATTTTGAGTGAACAGATGCTGTAAGTATAGGATTTTTAGCATTTCACAGTTTCTCAGAACCATTATGACATTGGTAAAGTGCATCAGAGGCTCTGTTTCCCTGGGTTTTCAGTACTAGTGCTTGGTGCTTTACTGTGTGCTCAGATTTGGATGTTTCCTACCTACGCACATCCCACAACAGCCCCCCTCCCTTCATTCTTTACTCAGGAAACTAAAAGTTACCAACTTTTTTTTACTTCTTTGTTTCCATTTCTTTAACCCTGTGTCTTTGGTGTTCTTTGGAATATGGTTGTTCTTGGTTCTTATGTTCTCTGAGAATTTTAAAGATGGACTTTGAGACTAGCTATAGAGTGTGGTCCACTGATGAGCTATGGGTTCATGACCTTTTTCCCCCTCCAAAAATAGAAAAGTCTATCATTTTCCTGTGAGGAAAGGGACTATGGTAGTTTTTCAAAAACCATAATTTGAAATGTGAATTGCTTGATCCCTTACTGTGGGTCGGTTTGGGAGGCTGTAACAATGAGTAAGATAGGTAGGTACTCTGCCTTTGCTTTGGCGCGGGATTGGAGGGTGGGTTGGGGGTGGTACGCGAAACCAGCTGCGGTGTAAGGTTATGAGCATGCACGGTAGAGCCCACTGCGTGGATTTGAATCCTGGCCTCATCCTCTGCTATTGTGTGACCTTGGGCAAGTCAATCTCTGTACGTCAGTTTCCTTTTCTGGAAAACGGATAATAATGTTATCTTCTTTATAGGGTTGTTGTGATGATTAAATGAGTTGTTATATGCAAAGTGCTCAGAACAGTTCCTGGCACATTGTAAGTGCTATATATATGTTGTTGTTGTTGTTGTTTTATTATTATTACCACCACTACCAGTATTAGGATATGCACCCTCCCCTTTTCTGTTGGAGAAATAGAAACAAGGAGCTATAATAATTTGAGTTCTATAATGCTTGTTACAATTTTTTGTTAAGATTAGAAAACAAATCGGTGCTTGTTACAGAAAACATTAAAACAGTACAGAAATGTGAAATGTATAAAGTGGAGGTTCCCTAAGGGTAGCCTACCATTCTTAAGTTTGGTATATATTAGAAATGCCAGCTTTTCACTTTCATAAAATACTAGTAAATCACTCATAACTCCCACACTTTTAACCATTTTTTCCTTTTTTTTCTGAAATAAGCACAAGAGCAAGATGATGTGCTCATAGTTGATTCAGATGAAGAAGGTCCTTCAAATAATGCTGACATCAGTGAAGAAGAGAGAAGTCGCAAGAGGAAATTAGATGAGAAAGAGAGTATCAGTGCAAAGAGGTCCCGCACAGAACAGACGGAAGAGCTTGATGATGTTATAGCATTAGATTGAACAGAAACGCCTCCAAACAGAACCCTCTTACTGGGCAGAACCAGGTTATTTGTTATGTTCTTTGTTCCAAAGGGAAAAAATTGACACCAGTGACTTGAAGATGATTCTGCTCCCTTTGAAAGAAAGCATTCATTTTGCTAGAACAATTAGAAACATTGCAGTATGCTGTATTGAAAGTAGGAATATAGTTTTAAAGCCTTTTGAACAAAGTGTGTGCATAACCAGTTATGAGATGAAACAACACAATGCATGTTGCCTTTTTAATGTAAATACCCTTAGGTATCATTTAACAGTTTTAAAATATTGTGGTTTAGTAAAGATACCTGGTTATAAATATTATGCCTTTATTTTTGGTTAGAAGAAGAATTATTTTTAGCCTAGATCTAACCATTTTCATACTCTTAACTGACTGAAACAGATTCAAAGAAGTATCAAGTGCTATGCATTGAAATGTGTTTTTAAATGTTAACTGGCACTATGTATATTAATGTAAAACAATGTTAATTTACTCAAGTTTTCAGCTTGTACTGCCTGGTATGTCTGTGTAAGAGCCAATTTTTGTGTATTGTTACAGTTTCAGGTTATTTATATTTGATGTTTTGTAGAACTCAAATACAACTATACTGTACTTATGGACCAAATAAATGGCATCTGCATACTTGTTATACATGCCCGCATAGTTCACGTTTCTGCTGCCTTACTGGGTTTATATATTACTGCAGGCATGCAAAATTCTTTCCTTCTAAAGAGTTAACTCATAATGGTTGTGAAGGTTAAATGATCTCCACTGTTTGCCATAGATAAGTACTTTCTAAAATAAAACTTTTATGGCAGTGTTACTTTTTAAGTTTGGATTGTAAACAACTGGCCTTCCATTGAGAACATTAAGTGATCTTTGCCCAGCCCCAGGAACTTAGAACCTTGGATTTGAGATTCCAGAGCGGGGGAGAGTCTTCTTTATTCTGCAGTCTTCTCTGGGTTGCCCCTCCCCCCTCCCCCCCCCCCATTCATCAGAGTCCCTTCTTGAGTATACCATTTAGGGCCCAACTCCAGCCTACAGAAGTGGCCAGACCAGCCCTAGATGGATCAGCACCCATGTCTCCGCCTTGGACCTCAGAGGGCCTTGGCCCTTAGGGTACTCTCCTCACACAGATGTGCCTTGAGTTTTCAGATAACAGAAACCCCTGAAGCTGTTCCCCCCCCCGCCCCCGCTTTGATACCTCAGCCTTTGGTGGTTTTGTGGCTACAGTCAATTAAATTTCAAATTGTTAACTCATTAAATTTTGTTCCACTTTGTATAATTCTTACTCTGCCATCTAGCTTTATAACTCTTGCTCCTTGTTTTGTATCATTTGTAAATTCAGCGTGTAATCAGAGCCTTCAGAAAAATCATGTTGAACAAGACTCAGCTCTCAGGAGCATGCCACTTGATGCCTGCAGGATGGACTGACTTCCAGCCTTCAATACAGCACTGAGCAAGCTGAATCCCCACCTACAACTATATGAGCCCATGAGGTTCACTTTGCCTTTAGATTTTTAGATGTTCCATTTTCCTCCGGAAAAAAAAATCTCAAAATTACAGAACTGTGTAACAGACAATGATGAAATATTCTGGAATTCCGTCTTTCAGAAGTGTTTCAGTTAACTGGCTGGTCACTGGTGATCATGTTTCAATTTTGAAATTCCATTCCTAAAACCTAACCCTGCCCTTGTAGACTCAATTGTCAGTGGTTTCCAGCATTTTGTATATTTTATTTTTTTCCATTTGTACATACATAGCAGTAAGAGCCAGTTTGATCTGCAGAGATAGGTTTCTGTTTTGGCAGACCAGTGGTTTTTATCTCTGCAACAACTCTATTACTACCTTTTCCAGCAGGTTCTGTCCATTTTCAACCTGTTTTTATAAAATCAGGGTTTATCAGCAAGGCAGGTCCGATACATGGGCTTGCCTGTGTAGACTAAGCAGATCCAAGCTGCCTGCATGCCCCTGGAGCATGGACACGCTTTAGATGTGGCCTGGTATTCGTGGTTTTCCTGTGCGCGAGTTGTCTTCTCAGCTGGGGAGCCAGACGCCTTTCCAGACACCTTTCGTCAGGGGCCTTTCCCCAGCAGCTCTACCCTGAAATACAGTCTGGCAGACCATCTTCCAGCCTTAATAGGAACAGTCTGCTGACTCAAGCTTACCTATCTAGTCTATTGTCCCAAAGATGAGTCTGCATACTTGGCATGTACGAGAGGATTGAGTGTATTAATATATAGAGCCTGACCACTTAAATAATCAATCAGGCAGACATCAGTGTAATCAGCCAAAACCTTCAGTAACAGGCTGTTGAGGAACAGAATCTTTACAGTGTTCAAATGTTGCTGTACAGATAACTCACAGAAGGAAAAAACAACCTTTGATGGACTGATCTGTCACCGCTGTAATCACATACTCAAACCTGGCATCAGGGACAACTTAATGTGTGCTTCCCAATGAGATGATATGAAGACTACAACGGCATTGAGAAAAAAACGTTCGCCTGAACCTAATGCAGCAGCTAGACCCAACTTCCAGCTGACAGGAAAGAGTGTGTAGAGGAACAAGCTAAACAACAGGAGGAGGAAACAGACAAGTACAGAATGTGGGACGTTCTTGAACTCAAGTGCAAAATACATGACTTTAGCAATTCTTGCGATAATTGGAAATTTGGAAATGGGATAAAGTGATAATGGAAGTATTTTCTTAGGTATGATAATGTCCTTGTACTTACGTAGGCCAGTGTCTTTATTCTTTGAATACTAGGGATGAAGCTTCATAACAATTTTTAAATGGCTCAGCAAAATATACAATACAGGAAGAAAAATAACATTTATTGAATCTAGGTGGAGCCTATATACGTTGTTCATTGTACTATCCAACTTTTCTCTGAAAACTTTCGTAATAAAAGTGGAGATATATATATATATATAGTCTGTATTTTCCTTCTGTGCCTATGTGACTTTCAAGTTTTGTAATGAATATATCTTATGATTTAAATCAGGCAATAAAGATTAAAAATACAAGTTGGCATGGAAAAGTGTTGCAGTGATTCTTGGGTCCAACATTGATGAAGTCTGCTTTGTTCATCCTTGTTGCTAGGCTGTGACTTAGGAAGAATTCTTTCATTTGAGCCTCCAGAGAACTAAGAAGAGAGCCAAGTTGCTCCCGGTAGATTAATGGTTCACTTAGAAGTTCCAGAAAACATTTGGTTCATAATAGATGTTCCTCTTCCTGGAAATTGCCCATGGGTGGCCAAGGAACATTGGCAAATTTAAGCTTCCTACTAGCCTTTTGTATTGTACAGAAAATAGAAACTTACAAAGTAAAAGAAAACCCAAAGAAGTTGGGGAAGAAAAAATGACATGTTTCTAGTCACTGTGACTTGGGGAGGGGGTAAAGGCCTCCTGGAATCTCCATTTGACCATTTGCAGGAGGATATATTTAGAGAAGTATTTTTATAGACCCTTTCATACTGGGAATACATTATTTGCATTCTGCACACAGGGAACTTTTTCCCCCCTGCATCTAATTTAAAATAAATTCCAGCCAAAAGTTTATTTGAGAAATTTTTGAACTGTTCTCAATAAAAAGATCATCTGAGTTGAACTACAGGACTATGATGATGGTCTGAAGTTTGACTATATCCCGAAGATAATGTTTTCCTGGTAAAATAACATTTTGAGGGTTTTGTTAAATGTCTCTCAGCTTTAAAAAAATTTAAATCTTAGCAACAAGTGACAACTTATATGGGGAAAGACTCAGGATAATTTTTACTAGAATGTACAAATACGGGGCGCCTGGGTGGCTCAGTCGGTTAAGCGGCTGCCTTCGGCTCAGGTCGTAATCCCAGGGTCCTGGGATCGAGCCCTGCATCGGGCTCCCTGCTCGGCGGGGAGCCTGCTTCTCCCTCTCCCTCTGCCTGCCACTCTGCCTACTTGTGCTCTCTCTGTATCTCTCTGCCAAATAAATAAATAAAATCTTTTAAAAAAAAATGTACAAATACTCCAAGTAGATCCTCAGGCTTTTTAGAAATCCACCGGAGTGCCTGGGTGGCTCAGATGGAGGAAGATTGGAGGGATGGCTCCCCGAGGAAATGCAGAGAAAGGAGAAAGTGCTGAGCAGGACAAAACAAGAAATGTTCTCGATGACAGTTTTGTCTTTGCCCTTTCACTTAAAAATACCTCACCTAGGGCACCTGGGTGGCTCAGATGGTTAAGTGTCTGCCTTCAGCTTAGGTCATGAGCCAGGGTCCTGGGATGGAGTCCCAAGTCGGGCTCCCTGCTCAGCGGGGAGTCCTCCTCTCCCTCTCTCTCTGCCCCTCCCCCTGCTTGTGCTCTCTGTGTCTCTCTCAAATGAATAAAATCTTTAAAAAAAAATGTAACAAAACTGTAGAAATCAGCATTCCCAAATGTCCCACCCCATGGAACTGCAGGTCGCTGGGGTGATCGCCACATATGAAGTTTGTGTATAAATTCCCTTTCCTGGATGCAGGATAAGGTTTCAGGGCAAGGAAGCGAAGGTCCTTCCGAGGTGGCCACTCCCACCCTTAGGAAGGAAGCAAGCTGAAATTATCTGATCCTAACCCTAATTCTTAGATTGGGGAACCATGCCTGTCCATGGCTTTAGATGTCAATGCTTTGACCCTTCTCTTCCCTCCAAGAGGCCAAAGGGGATACCAGGACCAGGGGAAATTGGACTCAATGTGGTTGAGAGAGCTGGGCCTCAAAGGAGAGGATGGAAAAATCCCTTTGGGCACAGCTCCCAGTAGATGTCCCGCCAGTAGAGGAGCATCAGAGAGCCCACACACCTTGTGGGGAAACTGGCCCTTAGGAGCTGAGCTGGGAGAGGTACCAGTGGGCTTCAGGGGAAAGACTTCCTGCTGCTCTCTCCAGGAAGTACTATTTTATAGGGGTAAAGATTGCTGCAGGCTGAGGGAGAGAAAGAAGAGTGGGTCCCAGAGACTCCCCCACATGGTGTTTGGCTGTGTGCCATCCCTCTTCCCTAGGAACCCAAGGTAAACAGCCACACTTGATTGGCTTGAGTGTGTCCCAAGACTGGGAAAACCCCTGACTCGTGTCCGTAATTGGGGTCCAGACAATACAAACACTACAGACAGATAAGGGGGTCTGATGGAAGCCCGATTACAAGGAGAGACAGGAGGGGGGATCTTTAAACCACCATCAGTGTAGACAGTCTGGGTAGGCCTGGCCTCTGGAGAATTACAAGGAAAAGGCTATGGTTTAGGACTTGGTGTGAGACTAGCCTGAACATGTCCTGTTCCAGGCTCCTGAGTGGTTTTAAGTGTCCCCATCCCCAGACAATGGGAAGATTCTGGTTGAGAGGATGCTAGGACTAGAGGCCCCACAGATCCTTGTGGAACTTTAACAACATAACCCAGGTAGTTAGAACCAGCTCATACTAGCTTCTGAGAGCTGATTATACCCCATTTCTTCCCCATTCTCTGCAGTAATACCATGTTGGTGGTTTGAAATTCACCACAGTGGTATTGGTAAATGCTATAAACCAGGGCTCCTGATTAGTACAATTCTCCCCCAAGAGCACTGGTTCCTAATCACCTATCAGCACACCACTGGACCGAAGAAAGAAAAGGCCAAAGAGAGAGGTGAACATGGAGAACATCCCCCCATCAGTGGAGGAGGGAAAAGGCATCAACAGAGGCTGGGGAGTGAGAAAGCAAGCCTTTTGGGTCGTTTCTGTTGGTGGGTCTTTGTTATTAATTACTTAATTACCATTAGGGTAAGCAATGTGTTTTAGCTGACCCTATATATTGTTACTTAGCGGACTCCAATAGACTGTTAAAATCTTGTTAAAAGCTCTAATTGGGCAGGTAGGGATGAAACAGTTATTTAAGAATTTGAGAGCAGAGAGGTCCTTTTCAAGAGGCTAGACATCCTAGGACTGTATAGATTACATAAATAATACGATAAACACTTTGATGCTTGCATCATTCTCTGCAGTTTGGATTACTTCTCTAGAACAGAATCTTGAAGCATTACCGTGTAGAAGAGCGTTTTTGTTTATGACAGTTAATACCACCAAATTGCTCTTCCTGACAGGATGTACCAACTTACACCCATACCAGCAAAATATGTGCCCATTTCACCACAGTCTTGCCAATGTTTCCATTTTTAAATATTAGATAATGTGGTCAGTGAAAGGTGATATGTCATTGTCGATTTTAATTTGCTCCTCTTTTCTCAGAGTGGAGCTCATTTCTCATGAGATGGCTCCTCTGGGTATTTGCTCCCTCAAACGCATGCATCCACCTGTGCCTGCCGCCCACAGCCTGAGCTTGGTTGGCTGGGTGGGTGGGTGGGTTGGAATTCTGCAAGATCTGAGGGGCGCTGCCAACAAGTTGCCAGGTGAGACACTGCTCAAACGCCAACTGAGGAGAATGGACCACCGCAGAGGTCCTCCCTGGTCAAGCTGTGCCGACACAATCCCCCATTCAGGATCCCTGCCCCCTGCGACACCGTGGGCACCTTCCTGAAATTCTCTGAGCCGAAGGGGGTGCCTCCAAAGAGACAAAACTCTTCCACTCAAGTCGTTTTCCTGAATCCACCAGGTCACGACAGCTAACGGTTTGCTTTTCCCTACAAGCTGTTTGAAATAGAGACTTTGTAGCTTGTATTTTGGGGGACAAAGCCCTAGTTACCTCTCGTTCACCGCCCCGCCCTCCCAGTGTGGTTCCCAAGGCCCCACCGTGTCCCAGTACCTGTGGCAGCCCAAGTGCTTTCAGGAGCTTCCTTGGTGCCTCACCCGAGCCCTTGAAGGCAAGTGCTGGAAAAAGGGGGTGTCCTCGCACCTCTTCGTGACTGCCTGCCTGGGTGGCCACATCTGGGGCTCACCGGTCCACCGGCTTAGCCTGAGGCCTGCTTCCGGCCTGGCCTGGCCTTGGGGGCCTGCGCACAGCGACCAGGCGGGAGGACCAGTCCCCAACCCACCCCGGCTTTCAGCACTCAGCGCCTTCCCCACCAGGCAGTCCGCTCCCCCCCTCCCCGCCCCGACCCCGATGCGCAGGCCACATGGCTCCGGGGCAGGCTGGGAGGGGGGGTCGGGGGTCAGTCGAGGTCCTGGGGGCCCCATCTGCACGAGACGCACAGTGTCCTCCCGGGTGCTGGAGCGGGAGCAGCGCTTCTGCCTCGGGCTGAACTAGTCCGGCCCAGTGCCTGAAACCCTGGCGGCGCTGGTTAGTAAGATGGGAGGATGTGGGAACCGTTTGTCAACTGCTCGTATTTCTTAACTCCGGCCGGGACTGGGGGAGCCGCCTCCAGCTCAGCCCGCGGGAATCCGGGACCTTTCCAGAGGCCCGACGGCCCTGGCGCACGGCGGCGCCCGCCTCGGTGCGGCGCCCGCCTCGGTCCTCCGCGCCACCGCCGCCGCTTCGGCCCGCGAGGCCGGCTCCCCGCTGCAAGCCCCGGCGTCCCGGCCCAGCCTCCGCGCCCCTCCAAGCTCCCGGCGAAGCGCGGCCACTGCCGCTCCGCCGCCGCCGCCGCCGCCGCCACTCCCCCCACATTCCAGAGGCCGCAGCGCCGTCTCCTTCCTCGCATTCCTGCCCCCACAAAGGAGTCCCTCCGCCCCCCGCGCGGCCGCCGGGAGGAGGGGGCGCGGCCCGGCGCCTACGAGCGCGCATTCCTCCGCCGCGCGCGCCACTCAGCGGAGCGCCGCGGCCCCCGGACCGCGC